TACCTGTTAGCTGATGGGAAGAGAGAATGCATACAAAAAAGATATATATTTAAAACATGAGCCTGGATCATAAAATACCCAAAGAGAAATAAACCAAAAACAGTTATTTTATCATTTCTACATTAGGAGTTTAACTGGGTATTTTTTTCAATGTTAATATTACTCTAAAACATCTCATTTGCCAATTCCAGTCAAATTCAGTCATTTGATTTGGTTGGTTGATTGGGAAAAGCACATACCAATTTATATAATGTCCCAAAATTTACAGTGCAGGGAAAAAGAGAGCTAATAAGTCCAAAGACTACCTGTAAACCTCCAAATTATATTACATTGAACCAAAGATCGGGGGCATCTAAGCTTGGAGCATTGCCAGGAGTATAGTGGCCTCAGTAACTGGTAAACTACAACAGTTTGGAACAAGCAAAACTCTCTTTAGAGTCCAGTGTCTGTCCACAGGGGCAGTCCTAGCCTGTTTGGTGCCATGGGCAAACATTCCCTCTGGCATGCTGGGGCAGCAGGTTGAGGGTCACAGACACTAACAGACAAAATAAACGGATCCACATGACCAGTAATGTTGTGGGGATGGAGCTGGACTCAGTTAGGGTGTCTGAGAGCCAGATGTTGTCCAGGATAAGGACAATGTTGGATAATACCTCCCACCCACTCCTTGACATGCTGGCTAGTCACAATCCTGGGTTGTGCAAAATCCCAGAAATACACCCTCGACAAAGCGAATCTGTGAACTAAGGTGTAGGTCTATTAGATCATGTTGTGGTGATCGTTGAGTTGGGGGACTTTTGTTCATACTGAAGTGCAAAATTAAAACCAATGGAAGACGAACAAGAAAAGTTCAAAGTCATCACGTGCTCAGTTTAGAAAAAACAGAAAAGAAGAGGAGGAGAAACGAGCAAAAGATACAGGTAAGCAGATGTGTCATTGGATAATGGCAGGTCATCCTGAAACAATCAGAATCAGAATACTTTAATATTAATCCCTAAGGAAATAACGTGGATTACAGTTGCTCAAAGAAGAAATGGTAAAAATAGTAACAGTAACAGACTAAACTGTAAATTTAAAAATTTAAAATTGTTATTGATCCCTTTACCCCTGGTCCTAAAGTGTATATTTATTTTCTTACTCTTCTTATATTTATTGTTTGTTTACTTGCACTGCTGTAACTGGAGCCTCGTCGTCTCGTCTTTCTATATACTGGACTGTATGTAGCGGAGATGACAATAAAGTTTACTTTGACTTCAGCAGCAAGCAGGCGCACCGAGGGCTCTCGCGCTCACTTTTCGCGTATAGAATTTCGAAAAAACGAAAAAAGTCTGTATCATAATGTCTGGTGTTTTCGTGTTTGTTGGTTTGTTTTTATTTTATTTTATTAGATGTTATTAGATGCTGCTCCAGAGAATCCCCCCGCAGCCCACCCTCTCCTCCCTGTGCCGCGAGCAGCAGGCGCAAACGAGGGCGCCCTTACTCCCAGCAAATGGGCGATAGAAAACCGATCGGTGCCTATGCCATCCCCAAAATGCGCTGGCATGATGTCGGGGCAGCATGGGTGCGAGCAACGTTTTTTTTTGCCAATGCTTGTGAAGCCGCCCCCCACCAAGATGCCGCCCTGGGCAACCGCCCATATCGCCCCTATCAAAAACAGCTACTCTCTGTCCAAACTAAATAATCAACCCAGTGCAGGAAATTGGCTAGAAAAAGAATCTGAACATAACCTCAGATCCCGAGAGAGATTTGTGATTCAGCAATGTTCTATCTATTAAACATTTATGGTGATAAGGATGTTGATGAAAGCTAAATGAAAAAAGGCAAAAAGGAAACATCGAAATTCCTGTACGCTGGATTAATATCCATCTCCAACAATACGCCTGAGGATGAAAACAAAAAACAAATAAACAAAAGAGCTTTAAATATTTTCTGAAATCTTACCCAGAGATTTATTGGTGCACTGTCCGTTCATTTTCTGTGCCGTCCTGCAACCACTTCACTTCTGCACCGCTGAATAAACTGCTCCTTAAAAAGAAATAAGCCGCATATTTTACCGGTTACGCTAAGCAACCACTAAACAACAACACATAGAATCCTACCTTCCGTTTAATTCAAGGTATTCCTTCCGAAACTACTTAGTTTATTCCCGACACAATCTGCGATCTACAGATCCAGTGAATTTAAAAACCCCGGATTACTTTCTCTTTCTCTTCGGGTCTGCAATGATGCATACATGCTGTGTTGGAAATCGCGAAATTATCAAATTACTATTTTTTTTCAGAAATTTATTAAAAATGTGAATGCAGAACACCTAATATGTCCTTACTCACAAACACATGTGGATTAACCCAGGGTCTATTAACATGCACTCCTTCGGCAAATTAGGTTTGGGAATATATTTTTCAGTTGGGATGTATTGGAAATTCACATAAGATCATGAAGGCAGCATATGAAGTAATTGAACGAAGCAGTGCGAAAAATATCCTACGAATTTCATTTTTGCTCAATACACAGCTTATAATTTGACTGCATGCTTCAGTTCAGCCATTTGATTAATGTTACAGCACCTCATGAGTGAACGAATATGGTGCAATAAAAGTAGTTTTAGAAATACATTATTTCCCAAACACTTATATTTTATTACATTTATTTCAATTTATTCGAGTTGGGTTAGGAGTTGCCACCTCAGGATGTAGTCTTGCTAATGACCCACTAATTGTATTGAGGTGTGTTGCAGTAGGGACACATTTAAAGAGTAAATAAAGTGAAATACAGATGCAAGAAGACAGACCAGCGTTGTCATGTGACTTCTGGTAACTGCTGGGGGAAACTGAAAGTTAAAAACAAATTCACTTGACTGCAGACACAGATTGTTTATCCACGGAGAGGACGGAGAGTTTCTGAGCTAAAATGACCGACGAGAAAAGATACGACCCCAGAGACACGACGCTGAAATTCGTCAACAGGCCCGATGATCTGGATCCACTACGTAAGAAATACAACTAGTTATCATCACTGAAGCCCCTTAATTCTGCTCTTTCTAATAACTGTGCGTGATTTGATTTGGAATTATTATAATAAATGCACTGGTTATCCCAATTAAACCAAATTAAGTAGTATTTTATACAAACATTTTACTTTTGTGCTAAATTTCCGGGGTCTGCGCAAAGTAGGTTCTCGGGCAGCTGTAGCACAATGTTGAGTTCACTGTCTGCGCTTATTGTTGTTCCTCTCAGCTCCAGTGGAAGGAGACCAGGGTCTCAGAGCAGAGATGTCCTGC